ATATATTATGTACACATGAGAATTGACTATTATTAGTTTGTTGTATTTTTTTGCTGCGTGTATCGCCTTTAATACAAACTTTGTTTAATCAAAAGATCAATTGGGGCAATCTCATTTTTTTTTTTTTTCACACAAATATTATATTTAGTTTAAAATAAGTATCGAATATAATAAATGCAATCGTCCTGTTATTATCACGTTATCATATTAATATATAATGAACATGAGAGTTTTCTAATAAACTCTGAAGATGAAGTCTAATAAAATAAAATAAAATAACAAATAAAAAATAAAAAATAATAAAAAACACACACAAAATCGTCGATCGTTCTCGTTGATCGCGAATAGCAAAATTAAGCTGCTTTTATTTCTGCAAAAAAAAAAAAAAAACAAAAAAAAAAGGCAAGAGACCAATAAGAAATCGCGTTTGATTCGAACCATGTGTGTGATTAATAAAAATTGTCTATTTTTCATTTTGTTTAACCCTTTGACTGCTGGGCCCTTTGACTCTCGAACCAATCCATTAATATTGCGTATTGCGTTAAATGTATGTATATATATATGTAATATATTTTTCTTCTTTCTCTCTCCCATGTTTCTTTTTTCTTTTTTTGATATATTTTTTGTTAAATTTTTTTTCTAAAAACATTTTTTTTACTTCTATTAATTAATTGAACCGATATATAGAGAGATTTGTTTGACGGGTATCGAGTTGTTTCGCGATTGAAATCGAAGATATATCACAAACGTCGTGGTTTATATATATATATATATATTTTTTTTTATAATTTTTTAATTTTTTAATTTTTTTTTTTTTTCTTTTAATTCGTAAGAAAGTTTCAAAACTCATCGACGAATACGTTAGAAGTTATACATAGAAAAATGTTGGAATAAGAAAAAAAGGGCGAATTCACCGCGATGCACACGCGACTAATTTTTTCTTTTTTTCTTTTTTTTTTTTTTTTTACCCGAATGATGAATGATTTCGTTTATTTAATTTTATTTAATTTGTTTTTTTTTTTTCGTTAATTAATTAATTAATTTATCCTTTTATTTCTTTCTTTTTTCTCGTTAATTTTTTTTTTTATTATTATTTTTTCACTTCCATCTATCTTATTCTCTCTCTCTCTCTTTCTCTTTTTATTTGCACGATCGATGAATAATATTCGTTTTATTTACACGTCGGCTTTTACTCGCTCGTAATGTTAGAAAAGAAAACAAAAAAACAAAAAAAAAAAAGATTATCCCAGTCAATCTTACAACGCGAGGAAATAATTAATATAAAAAGAAAAAGAAAAAGAAAAAAGAAAAAAGAAAGAAAGAAAGAAAAAACATTACTGAAAATCTTGTCAAGTCTTTTTCCAAACGTTTCGACATTTTTTCTCTCTTTTTTATTTTTTTCTTTATTTCCAGACGAATTTCGTGGAATTTCAGTCGGTGGTAGAAATTTCTTTATCGTTCATTCGAACAATTTCTACGAAGATAGGATGTGTATGTATAAATCCCCATTAAATTGGAAGATATTATTGTAAAATATAAAAAAAAAAAAAAAAAAACAAATGTATCAAAAGATTTGTATCCTAGAAAAAAAAAAACAAAAAAAACAAAAAAATCGAGACGTTCGATAAGATCNAAAAAAACAAAAAAATCGAGACGTTCGATAAGATCGATTACGATGCGAATGAAAATAAGTTTAGCAGATCACTGACGAACATGTGTCTTATAATAAAATAAAATAAAAAAAACCCATAAAAAATTAGGGGGTAGTTTATAATAGTGGCAGGAGAAGAAGATGAAGAAGAAGAAGAAGAAGAAGAAAAACGAAAAGGGTATTTTTATAGTCTTCTCGTATTGCGCGTTTGGACTGTAAATACGGTCAGTGAGTGAGTGAGTGAATGAGTGAGTGAGTGAATGAGTGAATGAGTAAGTGAGTAAGTGAGTGAGTAAGTGAGTGAGTGATTACAAAAGTGACGATAATGACAATGTGATAATGACAGAAAAACGTCGTCGAGAAAAAAAAATAATCGAATTTCGACAACGTTAGATAATGATAACGTGATATTGTGAACGTATTTTTTTTTATTTCCTTTTTCTTTTCTTTTCTTTTTGACTGTATAGATATATGTATAATTATTAGATATATATATATATATAATATCGTTTCATCCTTGAAAATATAGAAAGATAATCAGCTATAAGCCGGTACGATGATGCCAAAAAAATCCTCCCCGTTCTTCTTCTGGAGGATTATTAAAGTACCCTGTTACGAATTGATGACACACCGTGATAATCCCTCAAAATAATACCTTTTTACTAATATTGCTAGGTCTATTAGGATGATGAAATTTCGAATAATGTAATTTATATGAATTAAACAATTCCCTAGTAGCACAAAATATTGAAAAATATTGAATATTCTAAGAGTACGCCCTGCCACCCGTTACTGTGGCTTACAATCTGTCCGAAGTCAACGAATTACCTTATACCGCCATCTGTTAGAATCATGACTCTTTGTTAATAAACAAATATTGCTATTATAAATTGAGGTATAAACTATTCTATCTTTCAAGTTGAATGAAACTGCACAGAGTGTGCAAAATTTGATTAAAATCGGTTCAGTAATTTAGAAATCCATTGCGGACAAACAACGTCACACGTAATTTACATTTATTAAGATAAGAAGATGTGTATTTAACCCCTTAAGCAGCACGGGGTATTATTTTATATTTCTATGATTTTTTTATACTTACATATAATAGAAAATTGAAAATAAGATTGTGAAAGCAAAGAAAAAGAATCGTGTTTCTTTTTTTTTTCCGAATAATGTTTTTTCCAAAATAGTCATTTAAAAAGAAAAATTAAAAAGGTCGACGTAACGTTTTAACATTACAATAATTCGGCTCTTCTCTGCAATGTGAAACAAAATTCAAAATTAACATTAAAATTATCGATTATTTCTGTATTTTTTTTTTTTTTTKTCAAAACAATGTTCTAAACGATGTTTTTATGCAAAAAGGAAAAGCAAAGAAAACTAATTCTTTTTGGCTGTTCTTTTTTTTTTTTCAAAATCATTGCTGCTTATAAGGGGTTGTTAATATTAAAAAAAGATGTTAAATCTCTTTTACACACATGTATTGAAATATTTTGTCAATATTTTGTGCTACTAGTTGGGTTATTTGAATTATTCGAAAATTCATAAATGCATTCATTCATTCATTAAATTCATCATAATAATAATCATAATAATCATAATCATTATCATCATCATCATCATCATCATTATCGTCGTCGTCACTGTATTGGATAGTAGTTTACGCATGATTTATTTCAACTTAGTTTGAAATGTTACTTTTTTCATTCTTTTGTTCATTTTAGTGTATCCCATTGATTTAGTATCTTTTATCGTCCGTTCGTCCGTCCCTTAAAAGGCTTCTTGTCGTTCAGGCTGTGGTGGATTCGTTCGGTTTAGAGTTGTGGAGAGTGACAGTACATTTAATGTAGGTGGCCTACGGTGATGAGCGTACGGTTAACGAGAGTCTTTTACTATCGATCGGATTATGCAATGTGAACACACAGTGAGACGTAGTAGTTGCGCGGTACTGCGTACAGAAATATATTATTATAGTCTTTTAGTTTCGATAAAAAAGTTCAGTTCCCTCCTCGATTGATTTCCTATCTCGAGGTGGCGCACTCTATCAATCAATCTTTCACCCATTTTTTCCCTTTCACACAATCTCTCTTTCTCTCTCTCTCAATCTTTCAATCTTTCTTTCTTTCTTTCTTTCTTTCTTTCTTTCTTTCTATCAAGATTCTCTCCCTAAATTTGTCTTTCTTTCATATTTCCAAGCGTTCCCTCTTATCTTTCGTATCCTTCTTCCGTTTCCTTTTTTTTTTGTCCTTTATTAATATTTATCCTTTATCATTTTTTCTTCAAAGTTTCTTATTCCATTTCTCTCTCTCTCTCTTTCTCTCTCTCTCTCTTGTATTTAGCCCTTTTTTTGTTCTTTATCTTGCCAAATTTTCTCTCTCTCTCAACTTTTATCCTTCTTTCGTTTTGTACAACGCAACGAACACATACATTTATATTATTTATATTATTTATATGTGTATATATCTATATATCTATATAAATATATATATATATATATATATACATATACATAAATTTATATAGATATATATGTATATATTGTTTTTTTTTTTTATTTTTTTTTAATAGTTATATCATACATACACGAACAAAGCTTTTTTTCATCCCCCCTCCCTTATCTTTTATATCTCTGTCTTTCTCCTTTTTATGTACGAGTCCTTTTTTTTTTTTAAGAGGGGGAGATTTTTTTCCTTTCGTTTTTTTCGTTTCTTTTTCTATCTTCTTCTCTGTCTTGTGTTGTGTTCGGTTTTTTGACTTTCTCCTTTTTTTTTTTTTTTAATGTATATATATATATATATATATATATATACATAATATAATATGTATATGTATATTATGTATAGTATGTATATAGGTAAATTCAGCTTCGTTTATCGTGAGCTCTTTTTTTATTTACTATCTTTGAATTGCTGAGTTCAATAGGAAAGGAACGTAGAACATTTTACTCTCGAGAAGTAGAGATGCCGCTGATTGTACCTGAAATATTAAGGAATATAAACATAGCAATAGTTTTTTTTTTTTTTGCAAATTTTTTATGACGAACTTATTTTTGTTTTGTTTTTTGTTTTGTGAACATCGATTAGAAAATATTAGTCGAGTCATAAGTAACTTTCGTTTTTTTTTTTATGAAGACAAAGAATGACGTTTCTACGACTGATGATAAGTGCAAGACACCTTTCATG